CGTTTCAGAGTGGTTACAGGAGTAAAGATTTAATTTCTCTCACTTTAACTACACAGGGGTTGTATTTCTGGGACTTAATGTCAATTTTTCGTGGTCTCACATGGATGACATCAGGTGTTTAACAGTGCTTTCTCATTTTGCTGTGAATATAGCTCTTTGATTCTGTGATTTGATCGGGTGTTTTTTCCTTAGATTAGGATCTCATTTTGGTACCTTTATAGCAAAATCTTGCTGCTGCTTCTTCTCAAAACCAGTTCCATCTAAAATCATCAGAGCTACTTGCAAGCAACCGTCGACCCAGGAAAAGGCTTGTACCACTTTGTGTTCCTGTAGGATGCTGCATGTTCAGAATTATATTGATGTGCTGCATTCTGTAACTTTTCCTTGGTGAGACAGATTAATTTGTACAATTTTGTGTACAAAATGTTACTTACACATTTAAAAATAATCATGACTTGATATTTTAAATATTAATGATGATACATATGTGAGAAGCCTTCACATACATTCAGCTGGAATTCCCACTGACTGAAGTAAAATTTCTGTCTCAATACACACTGAAGAGTTTGACACAAAGTAAGTTGTTGAATGCTGATGTTTGAGATTCTTCCTTGCTATTCTGGTTAATTATATCTTGTCAGAAATTTCTTTAGAAACAAACAGGGATTAAAACATGCTTAGATCTTGTCAAAGGATGTGGATTTGCATTAAGAATGGCTGGTTTGGTTATTAAATTTCTAAGGGGAAGTAATCAGAACTGTATATCAAACCAGTCAGCAGGCATAGGGGCAGATCATATTCTGATATCTGGACAATCCTGCCTCTGAGTAGGACCATGAATAGGGTGTCCAGAGGACAAGGGCTAGAGTTCACATGCTATGTGCTGTTTGTAAAAGTATCTACTGCAATAATCCGTTGAATGTGCAGGTGTTTCAATTTCATAATGAACTGGAGTCATATAACAGCTACTTGGTTTTATGATGTTTTTCAGTAATCCCAGAAGTCATAAGTAGTCTGAGATTTTTCAGTCCATTGTATAGTAAAAGTACTATGGATTTAAGTGGCAGTGGAGAATCGATGCAGTCAGAAGAATTTTATCAGATAAGAGGTCCGTGTGGAAGAAAAAGCAGCACATTATACCACAGCCTTCCATGAGGCTACATCCAGTTCCTGACACAGGTTATGTTATTAGTGCAGTTAAATCAGAATATGTCTAATATAATCTAATTCAAAAGGTGGTAAAGAATAGGTTGAAGGCAGAGCTATCAGCAGTTATGTATATAACTGTAAAATAAAAGTGGCAATGCTTTTTCCAAGCCTGACTAGCTGCTGTAATCTGGCTTTGCATAAACAGTGTTGCTGACTGCGCTGGTAAGGTAGGTATTTTTATGGAGGATGAATTAGAAACATAGAATCATAGAATGGCTTGGGTTGGAAGGGACCTTAAAGATTATCCCTGCTACGGGCAGGCACAACTTCCACTAGACCAGGTTGCTCAGAGCCTCATCCAGCCTGGCCTTGAACATATCCAGGGATGGGACATCCACAGCTTCTCTGGGCAACCTGTTCTAATACCTCACCACCCTTACCATAAAAAACTTCCTCCTAATATCTAGTCTAAATCTATCCTCTTGCGGTTTAAAGCTGTTACCCCTTGTCCTATCGCTACACTCCCTGATAAAGAGTCCCTCCCCATCTTTCCTGTAGGTCCCCTTTACGTTCTGGAAGGCTGTTATAATGTCTACTTGGAGCCTTCTCTTCTCCAGGCTGAACAACCCAAACTCTCTCAGCCTGTCCTCACAGGGGAGGTGCTCTAGCCCTCTGACCATCTTTGTGGCTCTCCTCTGGACTCGCTCCAACAGGTCCAGGTGTTTCCTGCGCTGAGGACTCCAGAGCTGGATGCAGTACTCCAGGTGGGGTCTCATGAGTCTGGAGTAGAGGGGGAGAATCGCCTCTCCCGACCTGCTGGTCACGCTTCTTTTGATGCAGCCCAGGACATGGTTGGCTTTCTGGGCTGTAAGTATGCATTGCGGGCTCATGTTGAGCTTCTCATCAACCAGCAGCTCCACGTCCTTCTCTTCAGGGCTGCTCTGAATCCATTCTCCTTCCAGCCTGTATTTGTGCTTGGGGTTGCCCTGACCCAGGTGCAGGACCTTGCGCTTGGCCTTGTTGAACTTTGTGGATTACACAGGCCCACCTCTCCAGCCTGTCAAGGTCCCTCTGGATGGCATCTCTTCCCTCCAACGTGTTGACTGTACCACACACCTTTGTGTCATCGGCAAACTTGCTGAGGGTGCACTCAATCCCACTGTCCATGTCTGCAACAAAGATGTTAAACAACACCGGTCCCAGTAGAGCCCCTGCAGAACACCACTCATCACTGGTCTCCACTTGGACATTGAGCCGTTGACCACAACTCTTTGGGTGCGACCATCCAGCGAATTCCTTATCCACTGTGTGGTCCAACTGTCAAATCCATGTGTCTCAAATTTAGAGACAAGGATGCCATGCAGGACAGTTTTGAATGCTTTGCACAAGTCCAGGTAGATGATGTCAGTTGCTCTTTCTTTATCCACCCCCACTGTAGAAGGCCACCAAATTTGGCAGGCGTGATTTTTCCCTTAGTGAATCTGTGTTGGCTTTCACCAATCACGTCCTTATTTTCCATGTGCTTCAGCAGAATCTCCAGAGATCTGCTCCATGATCTTGCTGGGCACAGAGGTGAGACTGGCTGGTCTATAGTTCGCCCGGTCTTCCTTCTTTCCTTTCTTAAAAATGGGGGTTATATTTCCCCTTTTCCAGTCAGCAGAACTTCCCCAGACTGCCATGACTTCTCAAATAAAGGATAGTGGCTTAGCAACTTCCTCCACCCATTCCCTCAGGACCTGCAGATGGATCTCATCTGGTCCCAGGTTCCTTAGGTGGTCTTGCACCTTATCTCCTACAGTGGGCAGTCCCTCATTCTCCCAGTCCCTGCTTTTGCCTTCAGTGATTTGGGTGATGTGGTTTGGGGTTTTTTGGTTTTTTTTTTTTAAATTTTTTTTAGCCTACCCAGAATCTGCTTTCAGTATTTGGCAGCAAACATCCACTGATTGCATATTTTAATTAATATATTATATAGTAATTTCTTTTTGAGAAAGTCTGAGTAAATGGAAGCAATAAGCAGTAAAGTCTAGAACTTGTTTGGCACCAAGTGTCTGTGCCTTTGTACATGTTAGCTGTGCTATTTTTGCAATTAATGATCGTAAACCAGAAAATTTATTAGCCACCAATGTTCCCACACAATGCACAGTAACATTTCATTATCTTGTTTAGAATGTGCTTTTCTGTTGTCCTGAAACCAAGTGTGAGTTCTGTCATTAGAGGATGCTGTGGAGTACTGAGGGCCATACGTTAGCAGCCTTTTTTCTTATTCCATTTGAACTAACCCACCTCTGTGCAGAATTACTCTGAGCAAGATCAAACCTACCATGTCTTCTAAGCTCTTCCGTTGTATCTGAAAATCAGAATGAGACTATGCCTTTCTACACTTAGATTACAGTGTGTTATGCTTTGTTTCTTCACTTTAAATGCTCACAATGGTGCTAAAATTAAGCCACCATAGTCTTCATGGAAGATAAATGCCAGAGATTGGAAGGAATTCAGCTGTATTGTACATTTGGCTTCTACTTAATAAAATTGAGTACATAAGAAATACAGATGGAGTGGAACAGAGCTTTCTGCCTATATACTGGGACATTGAACTTGAAATTATCTCTGGGGATGTGTTAAGTAGTAGTCTTCCTTTTCTTCCTCACATTTTTGCAGACCAAAATGATGATTCCTGATGATTGTCAACAAATTTCATTTTGGATTTGCAATATGTATACTTCAATAGTCTTTATCAAAATTACATACCTGGAGTTACTGCTCTTTATTTGTCATCTCTGCAAAATCACGTTTTGTTCTAGTTCACGTAGAAAGAGGTACTATTGCCTCTTGATTCTGTGCCAAAAATTGCACCATTATCTTAGGGCATTGTGTGCCAGCCAAAAAGTATCATGAATCATCACTGATCTGCATGACGTAAAGGAGAGGTGAGTGGCACAGCATATCCCTCCTGGTTGCTACTGGTTTTTCTCCCTCTGTTTAGCACTGCTGTCATATAAGATATTTAACACAGTTGCTGTCTGCCAGCAGTTTGATTGTATTACTAGATGCCATCTTGTTTTAGTTCACGTTTGCATAGTGACTTAAGCTGTATTTCCTTTTAATGGCAGTATGCCAGACTTGATAGTGATGTAACTGACTGGAAACTTATGATAGTACACATGTGAAACAAGAAGGGGAACTTGCCTACTGACAGAGGCAAAAATGGTTGCTAGAGCTCGAAGAGAAGGCTGCTTGGTGAAGTTGTGCTTCAGAAATAAAACTGCCTTTGCAGTTTAGATAGACTCTATTTGTCTTCATAGAAATGGATGATTTTTGTACCCAAATCCCATCAGCTGTTAATGAGATGGTAGTAGCAAAGGCTTTTTTTGACATTTGAAAGTTCTCCAAGAATGCTTTCCCAGTTATAAACAGGAGGTTGAGGGGAACTAGTGAGTAGGCTAGAAGAAAGTGCTCAGTAAAGTCTAGAACATGCATTAGAAATGAGTTTTAAAATGTCTATCTGTCTATAATTCGTAAGTGTATAATGGAACTATTAATTGATTATTTGCTATAAATAAAAAAGGTGCTGACTGGACACATCTTCCTTGACTACAAAATAAAATCAGGTTACATTTCAGCTATGCATCTTTCTTTCCCTGTTGTAATGAGAACATTGAACTAATTTGATAACTAACGTTTTGGCTTATGTAGGGTAGTAAAATATTTTTGTTTAATTATAATTAAAGCACAAGAGAAACTTACGCTTGAACGCCTATTTTTACATAAGTTTTCAAAATGCCGCTGTGCAATTCATATTGTATGTAATCTTTTTTGTTGCTTCAATACAGCCATTTCTTCTTTGTTGATAGGTTCTAGAAAGTTTTAAGATCATGGATTACAGTCTGCTACTGGGAATCCACATACTGAACAGTAACCTGAAGGAAAGAGAGGGAGAAAGTTCCCAGAATGCATCAGACACAAAACGTCCTGGGGGGCAGAAAGTTCTCTATTCCACAGCCATGGAGTCTATACAGGGCTCTGGGAAGTCTGGGGACTTGGTCACCACAGAGACAACAAACACGTAAGTGCCATAACCTGCTCTTAAGGTTATTATTAAGACTTTCATTTTCTCACATTCTGTTTATTCAGTCTGTGCCACTTGGTATGAGGAAGCAAAACATTCAAGAATATGCTGCATTTCAGGAATTGAAAGATTAAGCTTTTTTTTTTTTTTTTTTTTTTTTCCCCAAAAGCTGGACCATGAGGATTTGCTGCAGAGAAGGAAATTGAAACATTGATTAGTAGATTGATCATCTTTAAATACATGATAGCAAATTTGGTTAGTTCAGAGTGACTTAGGTATGCACATTTATTTGCAAAAGAGATGTTATGAGACAACTATTACTGGAGTCCCAGGTATAATCTAATTTTAACTGACAGCAGCCTGATAAGCCATAAGCAAAAACTATTTATTAACATTGAAATGGATATTCCTGCAGTGGTTATTTTAATCTGAAAATAGAATACTCAATACATAGAAACGTATCATCAACCAGGGAAGTGCAGCCATACCATGTACAATATTTCCTGAGATAAGAACTGCTGCTCTTATTTTTCTGTCTATCAAAAACTACGGTAGAAATTTAAGTATATAGATGATATTCTATTGTTTCCTTTGAAATACATTCAGTGTTAGTGAGCTCATTATGTTCACTGTTATCATTTTATATAATCAGTCCATCATAATGAGAGTTTAATTTCAAATTAAAGATTTACTCTTCTCCTGGTTCTCAAGGGAGCTGTCTATGTAAATACAACTGATATAGAAACACACGCTTAAACTTACAGCAAACAAATGGGAGAATTAGGATATATAGCATTTATAGAGAGTTTCCAGATGTTCAGAGTCTAGAATATAAATTGAATTTCAAAGCTGAATTTCACTCAGTTTTTACAACATTACTTACCTTCACACAGAATGTGGTGAATGCTCTCGTATGGTGGCAGAGGTGTTGCACTGGGCATTTTGGGGGGGTGTTGGGTTTTGGTTTTGTTTTGGTTTTGTTTTTTAACTAAAAGCCAAAGCTGATATAGGTCATCTAAGAAAGTCTCCTTCATTATCATGTATGGAAACCCACCCACATCTTTTGAGCTAATGTAGTGCTGCCCAGATCCTGAGCAGTGTAGTACCATTGCTGAAAGCCTCCTGCCCACTGCAGCAGTTGAGTCCTCCCTTGACCCCTTACATTGTGTCCTTTCCAGTAATGACATAACTGGTAGTGTGGCAAACCTCACTGAGGTGGATGAAAATGAGCCTAGGTCATACAAAAAAGACCCCTAGGTCAATCTTGTGCTGTGGTTCATTATAAGGCCGTACACGCATGAGGACAACAATAGATACCCAGCAGCAAGACCTGCTGCTTGTACTGGGTTGAATTTACAGTCATAGCTTCCAGGAAAAGCTGACAGAATACAGTTTTGTAAACCACTTAACAGTTCTGAATATCGGACCAGTTAACTGAGCTGGAGTTTATGGTAATGGAGTTTTACAGTGATTTAAACTCCACTTATATGGTTTCCTTTGTGCCTAGAATAATAAAAAAACCTCACTCCCTGTCCCTCCTCCCGCCCCACCCCCCAAAAAAAAACCCAAAACAAAACCAAAAAACAAACCCAGGTTGAGTAGATGTGTCGGGGGCAAGGGACTACTGTGCTTTAGTGGCAGAATGGGGAATATACTCTCAACTGCATCCTTGTCAGCTGTTTCAGGTGTATACTACTTGTTTCTCAAACTGTAAAAAAGATTTGGAGGTGTTGCATCTTCAATCTCTTTTTCTTCTGGTTTTGTAGTGGGTCTGTTAATGTCAACAGAAGCTGACAAACTGAAAATTTGGTTTCAATTTCTGGTTCTAAAAACAATGGACCCTTTTTTCTAGGTGGTGGAGTAGGAAGAGAGTGTCTTAGGATGAGCACCTTGTTCTTTAAGGTCATGGCTGAGTAAATACTCTGAACCAAGTTCAGATCTAGGTGGTCAGGCTTCTCAGCTTGATATTGTTACTTTTTCTGCCTCTATCTGTAAAAAATTTTTGAAAAGCACATTTTTAATTTTTAGTGAAAAATATACAAAACAACCTTTTTAGACTTGGAGTAATGTGCAGGCTCTCTACAGTTTTGATACATGGGATCAGTAAAGTGACAAAATTCTCTTTTAGCGAGGCAAAATTATTTCTTTTCCTTAGTAATAAACTGATGTTTACTTTTTTCCAATTATCAGAGTCCAGATCATCTAACAATTTCCAATACTATCTAAAAGTTGTCATAATATACTCTTTGTTTATAATGGATATTTACCAATGGATCCCAGATACTTTAGGTTTGCCATTTAAAATCAGTTGTATGCTAAGTGACCCACATTTGACTGATTTTGCACTGTGGCATCTAGCTTTAATGTTGTGTGTATTTCCTTGGGTTTGCAAGTTCACCTGCCCACTGATGATCAGAAATATCTTAAAAGATAATCTGTGTTTTTGTTGTTTCTCTCAGAATGGGAGGTATTCCAGCTAAAAGCCATAAAGGAGAAAAGCTGCTTCTATTTATGGGTATTATTGATATTCTCCAGTCTTATAGGTAAGTTGAATTTAAAATTTTTATTGAATAAGCTATACTGAAATTACTTAGAATGTGGAAATTTTATAATGTAGTTCTGATTTTGTTTTTATATGCTTAGGTTAATGAAGAAACTGGAACATTCTTGGAAAGCTCTTGTTTATGATGGGGTAAGTAGATTTTATTATGTTTTTTTAACAGCTGATAGTTTAGCTAATGGAACTTTGGCTTATGTTGACCAGGAAAGAGCTAGCTCTGGTATATTTGTAGTCTACCATCACCATGTGGTTTGGGCTGTTGCTGAAATCTTTTAGGCCCATTTCCCAATTCATGCTTTGAATTTTATTTGTAAATCTTTCAAAAAGCAAGTGTCCTTACAACTTACACAAGACAATGGCCACGTAGCAGGACATTGAATCTGTAACTGAAAAAATGTACATAATGTGAAAAAAAAGCATTTCAAACACTAGGAAGATTTTGCAGAATATGTCTGTATAGTTCATAACTCATAATTTCATAAATGAAATAGTTAAAGTTGTTGAGGAATTAACCTTTAAAAAGGAAAAACTTGTTAGGACTCACTTGTTTTGAGTATGTCTGTAATGAATGATATGTTGTACCTGAGGTGTCTAGCTTCTTTCTTGACAATTCACTTGTGATTTACCTATGGAAAATTTGACTGAGACCTTTTTTAATCTTGTAGGACACTGTTTCAGTTCACCGACCAAGTTTTTATGCAGACAGATTTTTAAAGTTTATGAGTACAAGAGTTTTCAAGAAAGTTCAAGGTAAGAAAGTTGTTGCTTTTACTCTTTTAGGTATTTTTTATAATCATGACTTTATATCACTCCTGTCTTGGCAATGAAGGAAGCCGTTCTTCAACATCATGTAGCACTTACATTGCTAGAAGTTGAGTTTCTTCACTGGAGCTAACGGGATTGTACTGTAATAGTAAAATCAAAGAGAATTATTTGCTATGTTTTCTTTGTCACAGAAAAGGCCTCTGAAGGTAAAACAAGTTCCTTTATATTAGCATTGATATAAAGATAAATTTCATGATCTAATGTGTCCAGTCCTGCATCTGTTACGCTTAGGAATACCCCCTTTGACTTTAATTTTCTTCATTTGCAAAAGTAAGAACTGTTTACATACCACCTCAGCATGTTTGAAAAGATAGGCATTCTTCCTTTTGATATGGATTTCTTCTGTGCTTTATCAAGAAAAAAATCAAAAGTTGGATATTAATAAAGTCTTTTGTCTTTGTCACTGACACCTGTTTCTAGTTTCTCCTCCATTTCTCCTTAATCTTTTAATTAATTCTCTACAGTGAATACATATCACTATTAGCTACTTACAGAGTGTGGTGTGCTGACCTTGGCTGGACACCAGATGCCCACGAAGCTGCTCTACCACTTTCCCTCTTCAACTGGACAGGGGGAGAGAAAAATATAACAAAAGGCTCGTGGGTCGAGATAAGGACATGGAGATCACTCATCAATTACCAATCACAGGCAAAACAGACTTGACTTGGGGAAATTAATTTATTGCCAATCAAATCAGTGTAGGATAATGAAAAGTAAACCCAAATCTTAGAGCACATTCCTCTCACCCTTCACTTTTTTCTGGGCTCAGCTTCACTCCCAAATTCTCTACCTCCTTCCCCTAAAGCAGTGCAGGGGGGTGGGGAATGGGGGTTGTGGTCAGTTCATCACACCTTGTCTCTGCTGCTCATTCCTCCTCACACTCTTTTCAGGTTCCAGCATGGGGTCCCCTCCACAGGAGACAGTCCTCGACAAACTCCTCCAATGCGAGTCCTTCCCACAGGCTGCAGTTCTTCACAAACTGCTCCAGTGTGGGTCCCTTCAACAGGGTGCAGTCTTTCAGGCACAGACTGCTCCAGCGTGGGTCCCCCACGGGGTCATAAGTGCTGCCAGCAAACCTGCTGCAGCGTGGGCCCCTCTCTCCACGGGGCCACAGGTCCTTCCAGGAGCCTACTCCAGGGTGGGCTTCCCATGGGATCACAGCCTCCTTTGGGCATCCACCTGCTCAGACGTGGGGTCTTCCCAGGCTGCAGGTGGATCTCTGCTCCACTATTACCCTCCGTGGCTGCAGGGGCACAGCTGCCTCACCATGGTCTTCATCATGGGCTGCAGGGGAATCTTTGCTCGGGTGCCTGCAGCATCTCCTCACTCTCCTTCTGCACTGACCTTGGTGTCTGCAGAGTTGTGTCTCTCACATGGTCTCACTCCTTTCTTCTGCAATTGCCATTGTGCTGGGGTTTTTTCCCCTTCTTAAATAAGTTATCCCAGAGGCACTACCACTGTCACTGATGGGCTCAGCCTTGGCCAGCGGTGGGTCCATCTTGGAGCCAGCTGGAACTGGCACTATTGGACATGGGGGAAGCTTCTAGCGTCTTCTCACAGAAGCCACCCCTGTAGCCCCACTGCTACCAAAACTTCGCCACATAAACCCAATACCCAGGAAAGAAAAAAAGCCAAGAGAAATCCACCATCACTAAAGAGGGGCGTCGTTACCAAGAGTTGTCCAAAGGCTTATGTCTTACAGCAACAACTTAACTATTGATTGTCACTTCTACCAAATAAAATAATTTTTTTTAATAAGTTAAAGTAGACCCTGAAACTGTAGATCCTCTTAAGGCATTCGGGATGGAGGGTGAATTGATCCTACATAGTGAGTTCTTCCTGTATGTTGTAGTTTAACCCCAGTGGGCAGCTGAGCCCCACACAGACAGTCACTTACCCCCGCAGTGGTATAGGGGAGAGAACTGGAAGGGTAAAAGTGAGAAAACACATTGTTACTTGGCTGCTCATGTGCTGGGATAAATGGGCCAGTAGCCTGGATTTAGAGGGTAGAGAAGCCAGGCAGAGAGGATCCCTTGGCTAAGGAAAGCGGGCATTGATTGTAGGCTGCTGTCATTAGGTCTAAAAGAACAAGATAGAAGAGGCAAGACTGGTAACTAAGAGCAACAACTGATACCAGAGCAACTGGTAACTCAGTAGTGAAATACTTTGTGTACTTACTAAATACTAAGAAAAAGAAAGGCTAGACTGATGAAAGGAGAAAGCTGCAAGTAGCTGAACTAAAAAAAAAAAAAAAAAGAGATATTTTAAATAGAGTGAAGGAGTCTTTAGAAGGAAAAGAAAGAATTTGAATTAACCCTAATTAGTGATTCCCTACATGCATGATATGTTGTGACACCTATTCTGGACAATAAGACTTTTGGAGAGTCTTATAAATATTAATGAATTGATGGATAATTTCTTTATGAGTTGGTCAGGCTCCTGAAAGGAAGTTCAGTCTGAAGCATCACAGGTACAGAGAAGAATGGTGATGACCGATGAGATGCATTCAGTGTGTGTGTTCAGTGAGGAAGGCTGTAGGGAAGACCTGATGAATATATCAACAAGGCAAAGATAAGTGCTTGGAGTTCACTGTGGCTGAGGTTGCTCTTTGGGGAAAAGCTGTTCTGGTTATCTGAGCAATGAGGTTTTTTTCAAGAATTATGGCACATGGTATAAAACCTTATTATAAGACATACAGATCAGCTGATTTAAATAGTATGCATCCATACTAACTTACTCCTTTACTGAGAAATTATTTCTTAAAATCTGTGGATGTGTTGAAATTGCAATTTTTTTTTTTCAGGAAGAGAAGGGAGAAGGGTTTCTGCTTAGCCTCTAAGCAATAATGTTTTGTGAGTTTTGTGGCTTTTTATAAAGCAGAGTTCTTGACAAATAAATAAAAATTGACAGGCTAAAACTATGTAGTTTATAGAGGAACTTATACTCTAAAATGGATCCTAGATAACAGTTTGATAGTCCTACTTGTGGAACTGTATTTGGTTTGGAGTTGAATGTCAAAATGTGGAACGGACATTTGTCTCAAATACTATGGAAAGGGTATTGAGCATATGGCATTGTATCAAACTGATAGAAGCTGTTTTGTAAATACTTTTCTGACTAGCGTTATGCTGGTCTCTTGACATTGTCCTTAGTTATCTGGAGTGAGGAACAAGTCTGTGGATAGAGGTAGAACAAAATACAAATGAAGGATACAAATAAATGAGATTTAAATGATACAAGAATGACTACAAATACTAGCACAGGTTAACAAGATGTTAAACATTAAATCCTTCAGAAAAGGATTATTAATATCAAAATAAAAGAATCTGATCTAATATGACAAAATATGAAACAAAATTGAGCTGAAATGAGGAAGGAGCCTCCTGAGACTCAGATCTCTTAAGCTCTAGAATAATTTTGCCAGAAAACAGGTGAGAGCTGTGTTGTCTGAGATAATACTCAAATACTACTCTGCACTGAGAAAGAGTAAGGAGTGGGTAACGATACTTCTGTCTGTTGGACAAAATAAATGTCTCATGCAGCCGTATATGTTTCTTGAACATTTGAATCTTTTTCAATTTCTTTCTAATTCTGACTGGTAGATTTGTGTCAGCACAAGACACAGACCATTCTGTATTTGAAAACTACAATGTACAGTTAAGGACACAATGCCTAATTTTCTCTCTAATCTTGTCTGTCTCATTTTTCCAAGCTATTAACCTATCTTAACATCCCACTCTTATTGATTTGCTCTGCATACAAGGCTATTAATCTACTTTTATATGGATCAGTGGTTCAAATGAGTTATCATTCTTTTGTAAAATAAAGAATTCAGAGTGTTCCTGCCTTCAGGAACATTATTCCTAAACTTTGAGTTAGACCTTTCAATTTAAACTCTTAAGCCTTGTTCTGAATGTGTGCTTTTTCCCCTCGTGCACAGAACAAGCCTCCATAAATACGAATAAAAACATAATAAGCAGATTCAGCCTTGGGCAGAGGCTAGCTCAGCACCTATCTACTGCATTGTTTTTTAACAGTGTCTTGGAGCTGTGGATCTGATTCTCTTCTTTAGTCTTCAGCCACGTGGCTTTAATGCTTTTAATTTGAACTTTGTAGTAAAGCACAATATGAACTATTGCAGTGCATCTGAAGTAAACTTGCATCCACTGCATGGAGGTCAGCAGCTGGCAACTGAAAAACACTAAATGTAACTGGCTGACATCCTTCTGGAGAAGAACTACAAATGGGGTTCATGAAAAAAACAAATGTTTCAGATCCTAGAGTTTCACCCAAAATGCCATTCTAAGTAATCAGGCCCTGGTAAGAATTATAAAGGAGATGCTTATACCTGAGTGTACAAGCCCTCAGTATTTTGAAGTGTTTATTTTACCCAAAGAAGATGTTTGACATGTCACTGAAGTGAAAAAATCTGCAGAGGCACATACATCATTATATAGCAGTAGTGCACAGCTCAAGGAAATGATCATAACCTCTCAGAATACTCCAAATGTCTTCTCAGTTTTCCTGTCTTCTGTTTTTTTCTGTATAATTCTGTCTCTGATTACATAGGTTGATACTCCATGGGAAATTTTTAACTTACTGATGTCAGAGTTGGTTAACTGACTTTTTGTCTTGTGAGCAGTAAGAAACCCCAGAAAAAGACAGAAATACTTCACTCATAGATTAAATAATAATGCTTTTGGCTCTAGTTTTACTATAATATTTGACAAGTGGTTTGTATCTGGGTGTGTTCTTCATCTGTATTCAGAATGTCTAGCTTTATAGGTGGCTTGCTTTTCTATACGCTGTTAAAGATGTTCAGGGAGATAATGATGATGTCATTCAATGCCTATGTTCATTTGGTAATGCAGCTTTAAAGTCTTCTCCTTCAAAGAAACAGTGCAATTCCATCACAGCCCTAAAGGCACAATCACAAGAAATAGTGTGTGCAGTTAGCCAGGAGTGGAAGGATGAAAAGTGTGGCATCCTTGCTGAAGGACAAAGCTACGCCAGCCTTGATGAAGAAGGTAATCAAATCAACAGCCTAACAGAGTTTTTAAAGCATTTTGCTATAAGCCTGGAAGCCCTATAACTAGAAAGCTTCCAATCTGGCTGATCTTTCAAAACTTCAGAGTCAGGTTATTCTCGTGGAGACCATAGTTAGTCATATTTGGCACATGAAGTGTTCTGAAGCTTGGTTCATTGTCCCCAGAGTCTTTTTGAAGAGATATAGGTTTTTCACCTTTCAGAGCTCGTCTGCAGCCAGGCTCAAAGGAGAACTAGCCACCTAATCCCATCTGAAAACTGGGCTCTGGTAAGTGAGACCAGTCCCAGAACTTAGAAGAATTCATCAGATATTCATACCACTGTTTAATATTTGACTTTGGGGTTGCTCTGTATTCTGCTGAATGTACTGGCTAGCAGCTGAAATTCACCCTGTAATGCAAAAGAGTTTGGGTATAGGCACATGAATATTACAGTCTTATCAGTTCAAATATATTAAGAAGCTTCAGGAAGCTTGAGAGCACTGTGTGACTCCATACATTTGCATCAAGATTCTTGGATTGTATTTGAAATTAAATTTGTTAATGTCTGTCTTTATTTTCGTGTATGCAGTACTAGGTTCACGCCACCGGCCAGATCTAGTGCCAAGCACTCCATCTCTGTTTGAAGCAGCTTCCTTAGCAACCACAATTTCTTCTTCTTCCTGGAACGTAGATCAGCATTATCAATGTGATCAACCAACGCTCGTTTCTAGCAGGTAAAGGCTGTATACGTGATAGAGGATTCCCCCACCATTTTGCTAAGCCTGACAATGTGTCCAATGGAAGGGGGCTCTGCGAAAGTAAAAGCAGAAGAGGCAAGTGCCTCTGTAGCTCAGCCTTATGCCACTCCAGTGAAGGAGGAATGCTGTAAACCCATAGGATTTTTTATACATTTTTTTGTTAGTATATGTATTATGACTGGGGTCACAAAATGGAAAGCAAAAATGTTATAGTATATTTTGAATTGTTTGTCATGTTTCAAAACTAAATGGGGCATGAAGAATTTGCTTAGGCCTTAGTCTGTGCCATAAACCAAACTACATTAGGATCCAGGTAGGGAATACTTGGCTGTAGCCTAAAACAGCTGCAGAAAGCTGTGATGTGCTAGGAAGAGACCTACTTTCAAGTTGATCTTTACTCTGAATGTACAGTGTTGAATAGTCTGCTGTAAGTTCTTTTGAAATTACCATTTTCTGAAGTGAATTTCTATGAAACTTCACCCATGGGTGTGATTAGAGCCTGTCTAATTTTAACCCAGGAAGGATAAAACCAAGAAAGTCACAAGAAAAGCTATGCAGATGCTTATGAGCTAGTGTGATTTGAGTTGTGTTTGAAGGTACTTTATCCATGACTGTCCAATATCATGCTTATGCCAGTAAGTTTTGCTGGGAGATGTGTGTGTGCCTGTACTCTACCAGGCACACCTGAAGTGTACTGTGTTGTTTGGTCTTGCCTGCTTGCTAATCTCTTTACCGTGCATCGTGCTGCAGAATAGCCATTTCTTTATCTGGTTTTGTCAAGAAGAGTAACAGTGGTGAACTCAAGTATCCTTACTTGAAAATGCATGTTGTCCAAAAATAAAGTAATTTTAAAAGCAATATTGAGGCAATAGGATTTTACCTCCTATTAAAACTACATTTTCATAAGAAGTAAAATGACTTGCAGAATTACTTGATCAAAGTAACTAATTTCCCCAAGATGATTCTAGGCACTTGCAGTTTTTTACCCACTTCTGCTTTCTTCATCAGTGCAGAGAGGTCCTTCCTTCTCCATGGCACTAAATAATATATCCAGCTGAAGTTTTATTTACATTTTTATGGTACATTGGAGGAATTTCAGTCCTCCCATAAGAAAATATGTCAGAGAAGTAAAACACCAAAAAAACCATGCTACAATGATGCATTGAGCTGTAGATGTCTTAGATTTTGCTCGCTGGAGTTCTGCTTTTGAGTATTGCAAAATGTTGTGATTCAGGACTCATCACTTTGCCATTTGTCTCTGATAAACAGAAAGCCTGCAGCAATCTTTGAAACAAAGCCTGAATGAATGATTTGTTTACAAATGTGAGCCTGCTTTCAGTCTTTAAAGATGTAATTGGCTATGACATTCTGCTTCAAGTTATTTGATAGAATTACAGTTTGGCATCTTCTTCATCAGGCTTTTTCCTCCTCCTTCAGAATGGCCTGGCACAAAGTAGGCATCACACAGACTTCCTTGTAACCAGTCAGAAATCTCTGGTTGAGGGTAATGAAGGGAAATAATCCTGTGTGCATAGTAGTAATACGGTATCCGTACAGCTCTTCGACTCCTGTTAATGCTAAGGAGCAGTATCTGCTCATACCAGTGAGAAGACAGATGCTGTTATTTGCCTTATTAAAAAGAGAGTAGTCATACTTTCAGATACCTTGAAGCATATGCTGTATTTTTAACTTTGTTTTGTTGGAATTACCCTCAGTTTCTGTCAACCATGAATGTAATTGTTCTCTAAGGAGAGGGAAATTGCATTTTATATGAGAAAGGAGCTCAGCACCGTCTCTCCTTGAGAGTGCCCAGCACTCATGGCAGGAAGCAAGGAACTGCTGCCAATGTGGTTAAACAGACAGAGGTGACTTGCTGAGCTAGAGCTGGCTCCTGAGACCATATTATGTGAGAAGGGTTTATGTTGACCTGGCTTGTTAAAGATTAGAACCAGCATAATGAATTGGTAGATAAAATGCAAAGCAGCATTTGGGGACTTGTGATTAAAGCAAAAGAGAAAAACTGAGCAGCAGTCATAAACATACACCTTATTAGGAGTATTTTTCCAGATTGCTAGCTGGTTATTTTTCACCAAGTTATTCCTCAGTCCTTGAAAGGTAAGAGGAAACTCAAGGTGTTACACAGGCAGTATGAAGAAGAACTGGTAAAAGTAGCAAATGAAGAGTAGTGGGGAGGCCAAAATAGCTGTATTTGTCAGCACAAAAGGAACTTGATCTAAAAGAGGGAAGTGAAAAAATGAACAAACATGACATATGTTACTCAGCAAATGTAGGCTTTCTTGTTTGTCAGAAGACAGCTGGTTTGTGTTCTATGAAGCTGTTTCTCAGTCAAGTAGTTCTGTCATAAGCAATGTCAAGTATTTATTTAGCAAGAGAACAGAATTGACAATATTAAAATTCTGTTAAAATTATTAAAATTTTCAAAGATTTTTCCACCCCTCCTCAAGTAGGTTTATATTTGGTGCAGAGATATTTTAGTACACAAAAGATCTGTTTTCCACTACAATACATGTTAAATTCTGAGTCAAAATACACTTCTTTGAAAGGGTTTATTTGCTTTATCTTAGGACATGTAATACTATATCAATATTATATCAGGGATTATTTTTATAGCAGACGTGATGGCAGATTTTTTCTCCCTCTGAGTAAAGTTTTCCTAGTAAGTACTGATTAATTAAATTAAAGATGACAAATCTGAATGTCCTGAGCAGTATAACTGTTGTCTCAGTTGACATTGCTTTTACAATTGCAAAGACCTGAAGGAGGTTAATGCCTTTACAGATGCTTCTGGATATGTTTTAAACAGGAGTTTCAAGATACAACAAAGTCTCTTTCCAATTTATCTTTCAGGAGGGCTCATGGTTTCCTGTCGCAAACCCAAACAAAATCTCATTATGCATAAAGGGCTGATTCACCTCTCTGTCTTTAGAGCAATGCCAAGATACTGCAGGTTCTATAAGGAGGATTGCTAATTTTTTCTGATATGCTTAAACCTAAGAAAGTAATCTACATGAAATCTAATTCGTTTCTCTTTATGTACTCTGTACTTCCTTTCTGTAAGACGTGTTTGTAGTATGGACTACTGCATTCTGTTTTCTCTTTCTGCTTTTCTTTATATTTTTCAATTGTTTGTTTGCCTTACCTTTGCATTGCTGTTTTTTGGTGCAGACCACTTCAAATTCTGGAAGGCTTTGAGAGGTTGTGGGTTTTTTTCTCTTACACAGTCAAAACTTCCTGAAACATCCAGACTTTGAACTGAAACGTCTCATGACTTCACATTCTATCAAACAACCTTTTCAAAGACAGCTTAGAAAATAAAAGTAAAATCTTCTGCTGTTTTTTTCAGTGGAAGGGATTTGTAGCTATTAGTTTTCCTATTGTAAGGAATATTTAATCGCACCTTTTGCCAGTCTTGTTCTCTATGTAAACAAACTTGTGTGTGTGTTGCAACCCAGTTCATAAAACCACCCTGGTTGGATGAGTGGGGTTCACGGAGGTTCTATATATATTCCCTTGGGGCAAATTAAAGTGAGATGACACCAAAGAATTGAATACTGGCTTACAACTTTAATACATACAATTGTTTAGGGAAAAGGGAAAATGTAGGGGGTATAACAAAATCAAGGGAAAAGGAAAATTACTTGGTAAAGACAATCCATGATTATTTTGCCATTCACTAATAATACTAAATCTTGTAGCAATGGGGTAAGAATAGTATAGCTACCAATATTACTAGGGTTAGTAATAAGCACCACTAAAATAAGCAATCTATATGAAACCTACTAAACAAGCCCCCAAAAGGAGCTGGCATTAAACTTAAAAAATGTTACCATATGTGCCAGAGGGAAAACAGAGACAGGGGAGAGAGAGAGAGAGAAGGAGGGGTGCAGGAAATAGAAAAAGGGGAGAGAAAAAGGGTGAGGGAAGAGAAAAGGAAAGGAAGGAAAAGAATAAGAGTGGAGAAAGAGAAAAGGAGGGGCAAGGTAAGGGGGGAGAAGAGAGAAAGAGAGGAAAGTTATCACCACTCCTTGGATACCTGGATGAGCGTTGAGGGGGGGGGGGGTGGTTGGTTA